CCCCCCCCCCCCCCCGGCCAAAAAAAAAAAAAAAAAAATCATGGATATGAAAGGTGGTTGGAGGATGAACACTGATGTAATATACCCCTCAGCTCCCCAGAAGAGCCCAATTGGGTCTGGGCTGATTTGAAGAAAGGTCTTAAGCCTCGGCTGTATGTTACCTTTGGAGAATAAATATTCCAAAAAGAAAAGGGAAAAATCCATGAGGCAAACTGGTGCCAGTCACAGTCAATGCAGCTGAAAAGCCTGGTACGTCCCACTGCCTGGCCCTACCAGCACAGGGAATAGAGCTGTGCAGGCCTGGAGGGAGGAAAGTTCAAGGGCGTAGGCTGGGTAGGGGACCCTGAGCTGCAAGGGTAGGGGCCTCCATGCAGTCCCAGTGCAGCAGTGACAGGAAGGCAAGCAGGAACCCTAGTTGAGCAGGTTGCCCTGCTCCTGGGCCTGGGTCAGGCTGTCCTTGCGGTGCAGGTGGTGCACCCCCATCCTCTTAGGGCTGCGCTGGGGACGACTGGAGCTGGGGAGTGCCCAGGCCCTGCCCTCCATGTGGGAAGTGCCAGGCCCTTTCTCCGTGCCACTATCACTGGGCAGCAGGCTCTGTTGTTCTTCCTCAGGGCTGATGGGCAGGTTCAGCTCTTCCTCTTCCTCCTCCCTGGGAGGGCCAGAGTCAGGTTCTGTTGGCAGCAAAAGCCCTCTCTCAGGTGGGGAAGAAGGTGCCAGAACCTCCTCATCTCTGTCAGTAGGACTAAGAGCAAAATGATGCTGCAGCTCGAGGAGTGCATCACGTCCAAAGGCTGTGCGCTGGGCCACAGTGGCCGGTGGTGGAGTACGGTCCACAAATGCCCGCTGCCAGCTGGCCAGCAGGTCCTCCTCAGAGCTGGCAGAGCTGGTTGGGGCACTGAGTGATGGGGGGGCTGGAGTGGGCTGGTGGTGAGGTGAGGCCTGGGCTGAGGCAGGGCTGCTGGGCACTGGGCTGGGGTGGGCCCGCTCACTCCCCTCCTCTACCAGGCTCAGGGAAATGGCCTGGCGGGTAGCATAAGTGCAGTTGGGCAGGGGGCTGTTTCGGGGGATTCGAACCTTATCCTCAGAGAACTCTATTACCTTGCGGCCAGGATATAGTGGGTGTGGTGGAGATGGGGTGGGGTAGGGGCTCAGCTTTTCAAAGGCTGGCAGGGGCAGCTCCTCCTCTGGGGAGCCCCCAGCAGTGCTCAGAGAGTGGCACTCCCCATTGGGTTGGGAGGTTGGACTTCCAGGGACTGGGGGACTAGCTGGGTCACCTAGGGCACTCCCACTCATGTCTACATGCACAAAGACATCCTCAGCCAAAGGGCGCCCAGGACTGCCTGACTGGGCTGAATTGAGCAGGAGAGACTCTGGCTTCTCCAACACTCGAGCAATGATAGAGGTGGGTACCACAGCCCCTGGTGCCAGGCTGGGGGCAGGGCTTGGGCTGGCAGCCTCTTGATCACTGTGCAGATGTTTCCGAACCATGTCCTGTAACTCACAGGGCAGCTGGGGTAAAGAAGCAGGAGAAGGGAAGAAAGACATGAATGATCTCAACCTAAGATAGCTTGACCCATGGCAAAAATCATGGCTACACATACAAGTACTACTGTGTGCTCAGCACTTTGTTATCTCCTGTGCTTTTATAGCACACCAAAGTCTATCCTCATTTCACAGATAAATTGAGGCTAAGTAGGAATAAAATAACCTGAAGCTTTTGAATAACACAACCAGGATCTGAACCTAGAACTGATGCTAAGGCCGATGTGCTCTCAAACTTGATCTCTCCCATCTTAGCAGTAGCTTCTGCCCAATCAGATATAAGTTTGAGAATCTGGACTGACTGGCAGCCTTGGGAATAACTCCTCTCCTTTGTAGGCCCTATCAACCTTGGATTGGGCCTGATGCTCTGGCGTCTATAGAGTTTGCCCCTTGGAATAAAGGGATTAGTATTATGGCTGATAGCTCTGGCCACCCATTCATTTTTGCATAGGATCCTGAAATTGAGTTCCTTTCTCCTTGTCGCTGTTCCAAAAATACTAACAGAGCCAGCCCCCAGCCCTAGTGATGGGCCCTTGACAGCACACAGGACACCAACCAGTGGCTGAGCTGACTGGCTTGAGAGGAGACATGCAGGTGAGGGGAAGGCAAAGCAGAAAGAGGTAGTTAAAGGCAGGAGGATGGAAAGAGATGTAGAAACTGGAGTTACAGGAGTCCTAAAAAAGCTAGACTGGCATTGCCAAGGAGGGTGTTGTACTCACATCAGCGAACTTATGATTACGGAAGTGGGATTTGTTGCATTTGAGCAGCTGCACAGCTAGATTGCAGTCCAGCCGGTACCGCTCCTGCAGATACAGATGTGGTTCAGAGCCCAGGCTGCTCAAGGGAGCAGGGCTGAGCCAGGACGAAAACAGCCACCAGCGAGGAAGGCCCCCTAGGTTCACATACATTGAGCTCCTCCAGCTTGTTGATGGTGTTCTTGGCATCCAGCAGTTTGTTGGTCAGCTCCACAATTTCCCAATCCAGTGTCTTCCTATCTATCTCAGCCTTCTTAATCTGAGGCACAAGACTTTTGGTGAACACAGCCTACACCCCAGCCAGCCCTTCCTCCCTTGCCCCTCCTCCCAGCCCAGAAATACAGGAAGCCACAGGTGCTAGGGCAGCCAAGGCGGACGGAATAGAAACAGACAATGGACAGACAGAAGACCAGACACCTCTCCTGTTCTCCAGGCTGACTGTAGGGTGGAGGTTTTCTGAGCATGACCTGTTGCCACTTGGGCCCAGGACAGAGGCGCTATGAGAGCTGCCCATGCCTTGAGGGAAGTAGAGGGGCTCTATGCACCAGGCAAGGCAGCTGGTGTCTGAGAGGTAATAACTGTGCAAACCCAGGCACTGAAGTCTATGTATGTAATTATTTCCAGGATCAGGCTAGAAAGATGGAAGAGTGGGCTGGGTGGCAGCTGGGTGAGTCTGTGAGATTATCTAGTTGAGCAGGGAGGGAGCTGCAGGCTCAAAAGCAGCCTTCTGCTCTTTAGCTCATGGACTGGATATATGGCTCCTCCTCCCCCACCAATGGCTTGGGCTTGCTGCCACTGCAGAATAGAGGCTGTGAGTGTTCAGTGGTGACATCAATCAGTACCTCTGCCTGAGCCAAGTGCAGCCTTCCCAGCTGTCCCCCAGGAAGGAGGTACGGACCACTGAACAGGCCTCATATGAGGAAGAGGAAGGGAGTGGGCAGAGGGAAATGACCAGGGCCCCAGCAACCCAAGATCTCAGCTGAGGAGGCGGCCAGGGCAAGGGAGAAAACACAAACTCAGACGCAACTGCAAAAATCCAGCTGTGGCTAAGAGAGGCCTGAGAGGAGAGTGCGGCAGCAACGGTGGCAGCATGAGGGGAAGACGAGGAGAGAAGAGAAACAGTGTGAGCATTAAGACAGTCCTGACTTGCATAGCACACTGCGGTCCCCTCCCCACCACTGCCTCCTCCCTCCTCCCCAAGCCCCAAGGCAGAACAGCATTCCCTTAGCAAGTCCTAGTCCCCTGCTATGCCGTGAGCACAGTGCCTGCCAAACTGCCCTCCTGGACAGATTACCAGCGTGTGCAGCTTGTCCTCCAGCTCCTGGTTGGTCCTTTGGGAAGCTGTGTAGCTGTTCTGCAGCCTGTAGAGAATACACAGCAGACCCTGAGTCAAGACCCTGTTCTTCAGATCCTGATCAGAATCTTTGGTATAGAATCTTGAGCAAATCATTCTCCCAGAATTTCAGTTTTCTCATCAGAATTAGATGATCTCTGAAGCCTCTTCCAGCTAACCACCTATGAACAAGGAGATATGTGCATGTATACCCTGGCCCCTCATTCCCATACCTACGGAACTTGTCCTTAAACTTGTCCAGCTCCTCACGGCTCTGGCCCAGCTCCAGCTCCAGACAATCCTGCCCGATTTCCAGCTCACGCTCAAGGGCCTCGGTGCGCCTGGTGGCTGAGGCCAGACGTCTGCGAAGCTCCTCATTCTCCTGCTGCAACAGCCTGGCAGAGTGAGGGGTCAAGGGCAGAGGGGTATCAGGGATAGAAGAGCCAGCCCTGGGCTCAGGGCCGGGCTCAGGAAAGAAAGAGTAGGGATGACATGAGAACAGGCAACTTGGGGCAGGGGACTCCTTGAGACTCAGCCTGAGTCTGGGGCAGCATACTCCATAGGCCTGAGGGCCCTGAGAACATAGCCTGGCTTGGAGAGTGCGGGGAGGCAGAGAGGATGGTAGAGGGCAGTCCAACCCCCACCCTCATTAGAGAAGAATGAGAAGACAGAATTGGGTGGGGGTACAATTCCCAGTCTATCTCTGGTTACAGCCCAAGCCAGCCGGCCACCAAGCCCCTCAGCTCCAGTTTCCCCACTGCACAATCAGGCTACTCCATTATTAATCTCTTGGAAATCCAGCCCAGCACTGCCCTCCTCTCCAGAGGCCTCACATGGCCAACAGAAAGGGCTACAGGGAGGCAGATGGCACAGGAGAGCCAGGAGCCAGAGAAAGACTCGCTGGCAAGAGCAGGCCCTCAGAGCCATCCACTCCTTGGTTCCAGGTTCTCTTGGAGGCCATGGAACAAAAGCTCTTATTCCAGAAGGACTATTCACAATATCGAGCCTCCTCCCAGAGTCCTTAAAACACTCAACCCAACCTTTATTTCTACTTCATCCAAAGAAAAGCCCAACTGTACCAATAGCCTTGCCTGGAGCTAAGAGGGACAGAGTTGAGACAGGGCAGGCTCTCGGGCAGCAGATACTCACTTCATCCTCTCTGCGTCAGTCAGGGGCCCCTGGGCACAAAAGAACAGAAGCTTGAGGCTCAGCTCTGGACCACTGGCCTCCTGCTTGGCCCACCCTCCAAAGAGCCCTGGAAAGGGCTGTGTCTGAAACCCAAAGACTCTCACAGCCGGAATGGGCTGAAGAGCCCTGTAAAGATGGAATCAAGCCAATAATGCCCAGATAAGCCTAGATTACTCCATCCCAGGCCAACTAGAAGATCCAAGAACCCCTTCCAACCCTCACCCTTATGCACACCAGCTCCAATCCCTCTCTTAAGCCTAGAGCCAATTGCAAGTAAGTTTTAGTACATATGCTACCTCTTCCCGGGATTAAGAGGCTATCAGCTGTTCAGAGGGATCCTAGTGACCCCTGCAGACATGGCAGAGACCTTCCAGAGAGGTGAAGAAATCAGGCTGAGCTACATAGTAGGGTTCCAAGTTCTGACAATCAGGCAGACTCAGGCCCTTATAGGGGCTCGGGAGGAACAAGTATATGGGTGAAGGAGAGCCTCTGGGCTAATCCTGAGAGGACTGAAGTGTCTTGTCTTGCTTTTACCCTCTTGCCCCACTCTCCCAAACCCCCTACGATGGCCATGGTCCAAGAGTCAGAACTCAGCCAGACACAAAGCAGAGCAGGCACATGCTATGGCAAGAGGAGAATGTCAAAGAGCCCATTCCCAATGGAGCTGACTGCTTCAAATGCCAGTCAGGGGCAGGAAAATGAGGTGGGTGGCCACACCACGGACTTTGAAGCCACTGACACCGGGATTTGATCCCTTTCTACCACACGCTGGTTATGTTGACCTTGCTGAGCCTTAGTGTCCTCATCTAAGAAACCAGGGCAAGGTCCTTTGGCTGGTACCTAGCACAACAGCTGGTCTTTTAATTTAATATTCCCTGAACTGAAATGGGATAAGTCACAGCATTTCTGCCCTGAATCTGACCAAAGTGGCCACAGTATTCCTGATGAGCAGCATGTGCTAACTATCTCTCAAGCTCTGAACCACAGTGGAAATACGGTAGCAAGGACAATAATCTACCACAATACTTGTTTCTTCCCCTTAGTAAGCTTAATGAGGGAGGATAACCAATTTGGAGAATGATTTGCAATTGACTGAAGGCCTCCTAAAAACCTCACGCATGCTTCCTAGCAGTAAGAATGTATTTCACAAATGTTAGCCAAACAAAGCAAAGCTGGAGGAAGAGCTAGACTTCTGGGGATTGAGGAACAGCTAGTCTGATGGAAGTAGCTGGGCTATAGGGGATACAGGTTGAATGGCTCTCCTCCACTAGTGGAGGACCAGAGTCCCAACCTCCAGCAGGTTAGGACCCCTATCTGGTGGGCTGCCTCTTGAAGGAAGGACAAAACTGCATGCATGGGATCATTTCTGCTGAATTATGAAGATTCTGGGGCTCTGTGACATATGGACATGTGCTCACAGCTGCCTACATTGCTCCCACTAGCAATAGTGGAGCTAGGAGACCCCAGACACTATTAGCAATGCCAACTCTCACCCCAACGCGGGGTGAGAAGACCCCTCAGGTGGGAGAAGTTGGCTAGTCACCCAGCCTCAGGGGCCCGCCTCTGCCAGTCAGGGTGAAGGTACTGGTCTTGCTGACCTCCTGCTCGAGCCGGGATCCAGAAACTTCCGGCCGCAACTCCCGATGCTCAGGTGGTGCCTTACGGTAGGGTTTCTTAGCAGGGGCTGCACTGGTCATTCTGGGAGGTGAGGGCTCCTTGACCTGCTGAGGGGAAGCAAGGAAGGAGGCAGCTCAGAAATGAAGGAAAGAGGCCTCTGGACTGAGGGAAAAAGGATGGTAAAAGAGGACATATATAGGAGCCGCCAGGCAGGAAGAGAGGCATTGCCGGGGTCACTAGAAGGGCTGGACTCTGGTGTGTCGGTGCCCATGGAATCAGGAGAGTGCTGGAGTGGGGCATGGGTCCAATGGGAACAGAGAGGTGTGAAAGGCAGAGCCTAGGCACCAGGAAGAGTGGACTGTGCCTGGGGAGTGGGCAGCCCACCACTCTCCTTTGGGTTCAGAAGAAGGCCTCAGAGGGAAAACTGCTCTCTATGCACCAGCTTCCTCAAGTCTAAGTTGGGGTGAGAATAGCATCAATTTCATAGGATGTCATAAAGATTATGTAAAGCACTAAGAACAATACCTGGCACTTAGGAAATGTCCAATAAATATTAGCTTAAAAAAACTCTAAGCAGAAAAAAAAGGTTTGAGGATGTTCACCCAACCCAGGATCCTCAGTGGGGAGGTCTCCAAGATCAATAGAGCCCTGAAGGCCAAGTCCCTCTACCACTCTTCACCAGCCCCCGACCGAGAGGGCTACCTGCCTGCCCCCTCACCTATCAGCCTCCCCAGAAGAGAGCCATGTAGGGGGCACAGGCCTCACAGGGACATACCGTCTGTTTGTCGGCAGCTCACTCTGTTCCGCTCTCCGGGAATTAGCCCTCAGCTCTCCACATCCCACGGCCCCTCCACTTCCTCTAGCCAACAGATCCTGAAACCGGAGAAGAGAAGAAAGTGGAGACCAGGTGTCAGCCGCCTCTCTGTCAGTGCCAAAGGCCAGCCTGCCCAGTCTGGGACCTGGAAGCTCCCCCTCCCCCCTCAGGAAGAATCAGGCAGAAAAGCCATGGAACAGGAGGTCTGAGGGAAAAGAGGTAGAAGTGGGAAAGGACTGGAAACACTGGATTCCTACCTTTCTCCATGAAAGCACTGTCACATGTATCTGTACGTGTTCATGCTCTCAGCTTACTCACAACCCAATTCTGAAATAGGTCTGGGTCCTATCCTGTCCCTCTCCTGACCCACAACTGTCCTTTTCATCTCCCAGGCCTTTCAGAGTCTGGAAACAACTAAGCGATTTGGACAACATGGGCTGCAGAAGAGAACAGCAGGAAAAAACCTAGTAGAGACGTAAGAATATGCTGGGGGAAAAGCTCCTAGCAACGTTTCCAGAAGGATCCCAAAGACTACCTCTGTGTACAATGGTGGTAAACAGACTTTGTGATGAGGAGGGGTAGGTCAAGGAGAGAAAATCCAAAAAGGCAGTTTAGAGCAATGATAGTTCTCAAATAGAGTGATTTTGGTCCCTCCTCCCCCTTCTTTATCTGGCAAATGTCTGAAGACATTTCTGGTTATCACAATGGAAGTGGGTGCTATTAGCATCTAGTGGGTAGAGGCCAGGGCTGCTGCTAAATGTCCTATAATGCACAGGACAGCCCACACGACAAAGAATTATCAGCACATAGTGCTGATAGTATGAAGGTTGAGAAACCCTGGTGTAGAAAACCCAAGTCTGGAAACACCTGAGTTCCCGGCTCAGTGATGCTTTTGATCCACCATGTGGTCCTTTCTTACTAGATAAGCCTGTTTCTCATCTGCATGAGGTGGCTGGACTGAGTGACCTGTGCAGTCCCCTCAAGGTTCCTGGGGTTCCAAACTCTGCCCCCACCTGTAATAAGCTGGGCTGCAGCATGGGGGCAGCAGCCACCACAGGGACCAATGGAGGCAGTAACCTTAGGTGGCCTTCTGGGCATAAACAATCTTCCTGCTGCCATCTACCTAAACAGAACTGGGGGCTGAGGGAAGCCTTGCGGGCTAAAGCGTGTGTTCCTGCTGTTGGGACATGCCCTGGCCATGACTCCTGTCACATTCCAACAGGGCCTGAGGCAAGAAGAATGGTGAGCGGGTAGGGAGGGTGGGGAAGCAGGAGTGGCCTCCCTGCTCTGTCTGGGCAGCCTGGTCTCTGGCTTGGGGTTCTGGGGGAGCTGGAGCGTGACAGCAGGCACGAGCCACCAACCTCCACCCCTCTGATGGTGAGGCAGAACGTGTCCCCACAGGGCACAAGCAGCATGCTATGTCGGGCTGACTCCCTGCGCAGGAATCCGGGCGAGCCTGAAAGGACAGTACATTCCTGGGGTGTGGGGAGCAAACAAGTCACCCCCACAGGTTCCCCAGGGCTACCCCTCCAGAGGGCCCTAAGGTGAGAGCTCCTATAGCCTGGGGGAGAGGCACAGAAAGTTCCAAGCCAGCCTGGGTACCTAGGCTGATACTCAGAGGATATGAGTAGGAAGTTGTATATGAGTTGGAAAAGAGGGTAGAGTCAGAGACACAGGAGTAGGCATTACAGGTAGCCGAGATTTTACAAAACTCAGGGAAGGTTCCTGAGTGGGGCCTCAGAAGCCAGGCCCCAGCTCCCTTCCCTATCTGATCCCATCAGCTGAGTAGCCCCATTCTTCCTGCAGGCCCCTTTGTAGTCCCCTCTATTCTCAGCTGCTTCTTTTCTTCCTTATCCATTTCC